TCCATAGCTGGCTCTCTTTTGCACGTATGGGGTCATGCTCCTTGAATCTGCTTCCTCCTTCGGGTGACTATACGTGCCTCTGATCTCTCAGCTGGGTCTTGAACTTGTGCAAACTTACTCTCCAAATGCTAGATGGGGAGCGTCTTTCTGGGTGAGTACCTATGCTGCCATGTGGCATACCTATTACAGTGGAAGAAAAAAAAACTCTCTCCCCTACCAGGGGTCTCACCCTATAACTGCCCCCAGCCTTGGCTGCCTCCACCAACTCAAGGAGCCCTATAAAGGACACTTGGGGGGGGAGGGAGGGAGTGTCCATTTTCATCTGCCCATGGGATTGACCCTTCTCATTCACTCAGGAAAAGGTGATCGCACCTCATAAAGGGATTAGATTCATCTTTTCAGTTCCTTTAACACCTCATTAACACCTTGTGATTATATTCTGGGTTTCCTGCCTAGATAAAAGATCAAGTCCCCTAGGTTTAATTCCAAAGTGCTTTCCCCAACTGTTGGAGCAATTCACAGCTCTACCAACAGACTACTAGTGCGCCTGCCTTCTCACTACCCCGCCAGCATTAACTGTTTCCATCTTTTATCATCTTTGCCAAGTTAACGGGCGGGAGGTGACATCTCAAAGTTGTTTTAATTTGCATTTCTCATATTATAGTGCTTTAGAGCATTTTCCCATATGGTTACTGATAGTTTGGGTTTCTGCTTTTCAAAACCGTTCACATCCTTTGGACATTAGATTTATTTAGAGAAGAGGTGTGGCTAGAAAGTGATGAGACTATTTTTTTTAAAAAATTCATCAAAACTCTTAAGGCACAGAGGGGCTAGGCTATCTTCTGTGGAGGGAGCTCCCATACCAATGAAATTGAGGGTCCTTGGAGGGGGGATATTCTGGGGGGTAGGAATCTGCCTCTTGAGATGACAAATATCTGATTTCCTTCACTTCAAAGATTGCCTGAAGCTCAGAAAAGTTCATCAGCAGACATTTATTAAGCACCTACTATGTGCAAGGCACTGGTGATAAAAAATACATGAAAAGTGACTCTAAATTGCTCTAGCTATCACCACCTCTAGCTGAGTACTTATGAACACCTCCCCCTTCTTTCCACCAAATCTAAATCCTTCCCATCCTTCAAGTTCTTCCCTTTTTTATGAAATTTCTCCTACAATCCAGGTAGGAAAATCTTCCTCCCTCCCCTGCTTTAAACACCTTTAACGATTACCACCTGAACATTTGGTTGGGTAAGGGAAGGAGGGACCTTGAACTTGGAACCTCAGAAAACTTAGGTTTCAGTTATGATCCTGCCACTCATGAGCTGTATGACCTTGAGCAAATCACTCTATCATTTTACCCCACCCTGCACCTCAGTTTCCACATCTATTAAAATCAGGAGAATATTCATATTACCTAGCTTGTTATGAGGAAGTTTTGCATAAACTCCCACTTTGTGGGAGGCAGCAGAGTGAAGTGTTTTCACTGTATTTGGAGTCTGAGCACCTTTGTCCAGATCCCAGATCTACCCGTGAGACCTCAGGCTTCACGTCTTAACTTCTCTAGGTTCTAGTTTTCGCCTCTGTAAACTGAGGAGCTGGGGACCCCTAAGTTTCCTTCCAGATCTACATTCCACAATGCCTCTCTGGCAAAATGAACCGGAGTCCACAAAAATATTAGAAGAATCAGAGAAAAACTTCCAGGGAACTGGACAGATCCTCATAGGTTGAGGTTGTAATCAGTACCATTGGAGTGATCACCCACAACCCAGTTAAATATTTCCACTGCTCTGGTGCCTAGTACAAGGTTGGCATGTAGTAGGGTTTCAATAAATACTTCTTGAAGAAATTAAAGCCATCTATAGTCATATGAAAAAATGCTCTAAATCACTATTGATTAGAGAAATGCAAATCAAAACAACTCTGAGGTACCACATCACACCTATCAGATTGGCCAAGATGATAAAACAGGAAAATGATAAATGTTGGAGAAAATATGGGAAAATTGGAACACTAATGCATTGTTGGTGGAGTTAAAAAATGATCCAACCATTTTGAAGAGTAATTTGGAACTGTGCCAAAAGGGCTATAAAAATGTGCATACCCTTTGACCCAGCAATAGCACTTCTAGGGCTATATCCCAGAGAGATCATACAAATGGGAAAAGGACCTACATGTACAAAAATATTTATAGCAGCTTTTTTTGTGGTGGCAAAGAATTGGAAATTAAGAGGATGCCCATCAATTGGGGAATGGCTGAACAGGTTGTGGTATATGAATGTAATGGAACTGACTTCAGAAAAACCTGGAAAGACTTGTATGGTCCGATGCTGAGTGAAGTGAGCAGAACCAGGAGAATGTTGTACACAGCAACAGCTACATTGTGCAATGATTAATATTCTTTTTCTTTCTTTCTTTTTTTTTTGTTAGGCAATGGGGTTAAGTGACTTGCCCAGGGTCACATAGCTAGTAGGTGTTATGTGTCTAAGGCTGGATTTGAACTCAGTTCCTCCTGAATCCAGGGCCAGTGCTCTATCCACTGTGCCACCTAGCTGCCTCACAACGACTAATATTGATAGACTTAACCCTTCTCAGCAATACAAGAATCTAAGACATCTCCAAAGGCCTACTGATGGAAAATGCTATCCACATCCAAAGAAAGAACTATGGAGTTTGAATGCAGATCAAAGCATACTGTTTGCTATTTTTTTCTTCTATTGTGTTTTGTTTCCTCTTTCTGGTGGTTCCTCCTATTGGTTCTAATTTTTACCTACAACATCACTAATGTGAAAATATGTTTAATAGGAATATATATGTATAGCCTATATCAGATTGTGTGCCTTCTTGGGTAGGGATGTGGGGGGGGGAGAAAAATTTAAAACTCAAAAGCTTATGGAAGTTATTGTTGATAATTCAAAATAAATTAATTAAGAATTAAAATAAATAAATAAATGCTTCTTGAATGATTTCAAATAGGGTTCCTAAATCTTTGTTAAATGCAAAAACAAACAAACAAAAAACCCACACTAGGAATTCCTTCCTTTCATATTCCACCTTCTTACAATACAGAGGATGCTTGGGCAGTGTCTACCCCAAGCTTCTAATCTCTGAAACATATAAACATTTAACCCAGTTTTTGGTTACCTCTTCTCTTTCCTAAGGTCTATGATTAGGAGGCTGGATTGAAGGCTTCTAGCTGATTTCAGCACCACAAGATTCAGTCACCAGGTGAGCAGAGTACTTGCCCAAACCAGTGCTCCCACCTGTTCAGAATGCCCCACCCACTGCAGCACCTCTTCTCCACCCCAGACACATGCACACACCTCTACCTGATTCCAAGCAAAAGGGAGTGCTCATTCCTAGCCTCATTCTTTCCACCCATGAATCAGAAACCTGGGATCCCCCTCTTCATAAGATGGGTCAATGGGTGAGGCATTGTGGTGGATTATGCCAAGGTATATCCCAGCCCTAAATTTATAAAGGAGATGTAACTATGCCATACTCGTTTCCCTCAAAGCTTTGTCTACATCAAGAAGTCACACAGAGCAAGGGTTCAGGCATTCAATCAGAGCCTACAAATCAGACACTTTCCCTCCCTTTTGGAAGCTTTGAAAGCTAGCTCTCCTCAGTAGGAAAGAGCTGGCCCCAACCTCCCTTTAGAGCTCTTCCCTTTCACTACACTCCTTAAGTTCTAGTTAAACCGAACTTGTTCACCAAAGAAGCCAGAACTTTCCCCTCCCTGTTCAAATACCATTCCCTCTCCCCATCTGCCTAGCTCTGTCTGTGGATATTTTGCCCATCCTTCAAGTCCCAGTTCAAAACTTCCACAACGAACTATTATCACCACTTCTTTCCCCAACCTTCACTCAAAGCAGGGGATTGATTCAAATGTCACCTCTCCTATGAAGCTGCTACCACTTATTCCCCCCAGTCAGAATTAACTTCTCTCATATCTGGGACCTCAGAGCACTTGGTTGACTAGTCTCTCAAAACACCTTCACATTCTAAGAGGCATTGCAGTTATTTATGTACAAATACCAGTCCATAAGCTCCCAAAGGGTAGGCAGGAATGAGGGTCTGAACCATGCCCTAGACACAATAAGTGCTCTATAAATGTTTGTTGAATTGGGTTGAATAAGGGGGTAGGTGGGGGGGGGGGCGGAATAGGTGGCCAGTGGATAAAGTGACAGGCCTGGAGTTAGGAAGACTTATCTTCCTGAGTTTAAATCTGGCCTCAGACACATACTAATTGTGTGACCTTGGTTAAGTCACTTAACCCTGTTTACCTCAATTTTTTTCATCTGTAAAATGAGCTAGAGAAGGAAACGGCAAACCACTGCGGTATCTTTGCCAAGAAAAACCCGAATGGGGTCACAAATTGTCAGACATGACTGAAAATGACTGAACAACAATGAGGGGGTAGCTGAAGAGGAGACAGGAAGAGGCACCAGGTGAATTCTAAAATGTCACCCTTAACTCTCAGCCCCAAGGAAAGGAGCAGGTAGATGGGTCCAACATCCAGCACTCGGATAACAGATATCCAGGACGCATTGTCTGAGAAGAAAGCAGGGAATAGGGGATGCGAGGCGGGAGCCCCAAAGATGGTCAGGAAGTGGGGGAAGGAGACAGAGAGTCAACATGAAGAGTAAGTTCTGGGTGCCCCCAAGGACCAGGATAGAATCTTCCCCCCCAGCCTCGGTTCCATGGCGGTTCTGTGGCACCTGGTCACAGCCAAGTTTCCAGCAGTGCCTCTTCCAAGCCCTGGTGCCTTCTAAAGGAGATTGATAAGGAGCTCTAGAGAGAGACCCCTCCTTCTTTTCCTTGAGCTCCTCCCAGCCTTAACTCCAGGCGGAGAGAAAGCAGAAGAGGGAGGGTGAAAGTTTCCTCCTCCTTATACCTTCCCCCAACCCCTTTCGGGGTTAGGCATTACCCCACCCCGCCAAGTCAACCCCTGCCCCTCCCGCCCGTTCCCTCCCCTTCCATCCAGATGGGGCCAGTCTTACCTGCAGGGTGGGTGAGGCTGAGGAGGTGTCCGTAGAACACGGCAGGTGGAGCTGTCGAAGCGAAGTCTGATGTAGCTGAGGGAACAATGGGTTGAGCTGGACTCTCCTCCCATGTTCCCAGCCCAGCCTCTCCAGAGCCTCTGTTAACCCCTCCCTGCCTGGTGGGCTATTGGCCGTCAGCCACCCTTTTATTGCATCTTTCCTTATTCCTCCCCTCCCCCTCATTTAGAGGATTGCTCCCCCCCACCCTTTCTCCTAGACCCCCAGCAGCTCACAGCCTCAGCCTTAACCCTTTCATTTTCCCTAGTCTTTCTAGGTTCATTTCAACTTCAGATCCTGAGCTCCACCCCACCCCTACTGCTTTCAACCTGGCGACTCTGCAAGGTCCCCGTCTTATGGTCCCTTCCACATCCTCCCTTCTGCCTCCTCTGCCTTTCTAGCCCCGCTGAATTCTTAGGGCTCTAAGTCTTCACTGGCTCTTTGTTTGCCACTCGGACCTGAACTTTCTGAGTCTTAGAGGTTTGGAGGGGTTGTTGAGAAGGTCCTATTAGGGTTCCATGAAAGAGACTCAGCCCAGTTTTCCCAGGTGTTCCTTTGGGTCCCCATTAACATGACCCGCCTTCATCCCTCAGCCTGTGTATCCATAAATCCTCGGATTTCTCATTGGTCCTTTGTTCATGCCAAACCATACCAATACGTCCCAATAAATGAGGGATCTCTACTTTTAACCCTCGATCTCAACATAGGCTCAAACCTGAGCCCATTTTAAGAGTTGTGGTTTGTGATCTTCAAAAAAACGCCAATGGGCTCTAATGGAAAGCTCTCTAGAGAGGCTTTAATTCTGGTCCTAGCTCTGACACTGATTAGTGCATGGCTTTGGGGAAATCTCAACCTCTCTGAACCTCAGTTTCTGCCCCTGCAAAATGAAGAATTGGGACCAAATAAATTCTAAGGTCTTTTTTAGCTCTAATATTCTATTCTCATTTCCTTGAAGGAAAAGGGAAAGCAGAAAAAATCACCCTCCTTCATTTCTCTACTAAGTCCCCAAAGAGAGGGTCGTCAGTCCCTACAGAACAAAGGGACATAAGAACCAAGAGCCTGAACTGTTCTCCCAAGTTGTCAAATGTGTGTGGCCAAACTCTCCCAGAAAATAGTACTTCCCAAATTCTGGAAAAAAACTTTTGTCTCCCTCCTCTATGCCAGTCAGCAGATCTTTTCCCAAATACTTCCAGTGCCCTACTAGAGGGTTCTTCTCAGAGCTTTGCCTCTTTCTGAATTGTGAGGGCATTGAATGACCCTGCAGTTTTTATCTCTTATAGCCCAATATACCTGGTCCCAGACCCTGCAAATGATCAAGGCTCACAAGGAGCCCCAGAAGAACACAAGAATCCATCAAGTCTTGCCTCAGATTATGCCTGCAACCTTCTGTTCCCCCAGCCCCAGAGTCTCAAAGAGATTAGAAAGCTTATCCCTCCCTCACCCCAGCAAAAAAATCCTGGCCACAGAATAATGCCCTGAAAACCCACAAGTCATGTCTCCAGCCCCCTGTCAACTCAGAGATCCAAATCAAACGATGCTACAGAATTAGGAAATATTCCTTCCCTCTCATCTGTAGCCAGACAGGGATAGATATCAAAAGTAGGGGGCCAAGTCACACAGGGGGCACTGACAGAGAAGGTCTGCACAAGCAGCCATTGGAATCCCTTCCTTCCCAATGCAGTTCACCCAGGGAACCCTCCACCTTGACCCTAAGGAAAAGAAACAACACACCTTTGCTCGCTGCATCTCCCTGGCTGATGGAAGCCTTGTTGCCTAGGATGCTCTTGGAACAGATGATAAAGCTCTGGAGCTGGCGCTCGAGAACATTGGGACAGCCACGGGCCCACTTGGCAGCAGCACCATGTTTGCTTGGACTGAGACGTGATTTTAATTTGCATCTCTCCCCGACCCCCCCCCCACTCCTCCTTCTCTCCCTCTATCTCCTCACTGATCTCTCTTCTCTCACTCCCTCTCTCTTTCTCTCTCATCTTTTTCCCTCTTTTTTCTCTTTCTTTCCCTCTTTCCCTTCACCTTTCTTCCTTTCCATTACCTGTTTTCCCTTTTCCTTCTCTCTTTTCCTCTTTTCTCCTCTTTGCCCGCCCTCTCTTCTCTCTCTCTCACCTCTCTTTCATTTCCTCACCCATTCTCTCTCCTTCTCTCTTTCCCTCTCTTTCCACCCTCTCTTCAGATTCTCATCTCTCTTCTTCATCTCTTCTGTTATCCATTTTCTCTCTCTTTCCCTATTTTTTTCATCCTCCCACTCCTGTAACTCAACCTTCCTCACAACCTTTCTCCCCCATACTCCTCTCTGGTCTGAATAGTAAAATGAGAGTGTTTGTAACGGTGCCCTGCTTTCCTCTCTCCTGTTTGCCCTTCCCCCCCTCAGTCAGTGCATTTCCTGGGGAGCTGCAGCTTGGCCTCTGCTCTGGGGTGCAACCTCAGGGCTAGGGTCCCGCTAAGGCCAACAAGTTCGGGTGATGAGCCAGAGGGACTGAGTTATGAACATGTCCAGGTTATCTTCATTTTAATTTAGTGTAGCTGACCTAAAAAAAAAAAGGTGGAATACATACCACCCCCACTCCCTACTTCTCTCCCTCATTCTTATGCAACAACACCCTAATCTCAGGGAACCATTCTATATGGAAGTGAAAAGCAGAGTTCAGACTCTAAAATGTCTTATCCAAAGGGGCCCTAAGAAGTTATCTAGTCCATCCTCCTGCTTCTCAGCAGGACCCAAGTTACCAGAGATCTGTGACCACTGTGTTTGCAATGAGCCTGTGCTTCAGGCAAAAGATTCACATTCCCATCTCAGTTCCCCTGGGTCTAAATGAACAGAACTTCATGGCCATATGGCCACCCCCACAGTGTCTGTCACTAATATCCCAGCAGCTTTCATGGGCTCAGATTGCATGGAGATATGTGGACAGTCATTCCAGAGACACGTCATCTGGGAATATCCTCTAAGTTTGGAAGATGGGCAAAGGAGCATTGGTGAGGAAACATGTTTCTGTTAGTAGACTTTTCCCTTGATGGAAGGGACTGTCATAGCCTGGAGATCACAAAGATGTCAAATATGCCGCCCTAGGGAAATCGTATGAACCATTCAGTCCAGGTTTCTGTCTCTGAAGAGCAGTTTGAGGGTAGAGATGGCTGCTGCTAGTGAATTTCACCTCAAAAGTTTCTGCATGTGCCCTCCAAACATCCCTAACTTCCCCTTAATAACTTTTGACAAATCAATTACTCATCAGTTAACCTAGTTCCTCTTTCTTGACCCTACTGATACTTCCAGGCTGTCCCAATACCTCTGGGGGCAATGAGTTCCCCTAGGTTAGCTGAGAGGTAGGGCAGGATAATAACAGAAAAAAAGGAGACTTGTAGTTCTGAATTCCAATGCCAAGTACTAGCTGGGCGGTCTTGGGAGAAAGCCCTGGACTCCGAGCCAAAGGACCTGGGCTTTAATCCAAGGTTCACCACTTACTGCCTTTGTGAACCTGGATAAATCAATTCACTTCTTTGGGCCTCATTTTCCTCATCTGTAGTATGAGGAAGTAAGTATACTCAAATGTCCCTTTCACCCCTAAATCTCATGATCTAGCTTCAGTGAACCTCAGCTCCCTCTTCTGTACAATAGGGATAATAGTTCCTGACCCCTCCTCCCAGCAACCTTGTATTTAACACACACAAACACACACACACATGTACATACATACACAAATATACACATATATGTATATATGTTTCCACATACATATATAATATATACACAATAGTATATATTATATATACTGTATATATACTATATATACTATACAGCACACATACTATATAGTATGTATACAGCCTATATGTTATATATACTATATGATACATAGTATATATAGAATTACATAGTATACTTACCACATAGTACATATACATTATATGTATGCACGCACACTATACATTGATAGATTAATACATATATATGCTGTGTGTACTTGTCTCCTCCATTAGAATGGGAGTTCTTCTTTCATTCTTTGTACTTATACCCCCAGAACCTAGCCTAGTATCTAGACATAGTAGGTGTTTAATAAATGCTTATTGATTGACTGATTGCCTGGTAACAAACACTAGCACTACCTACTTCCTATGGATTTCTGTGATAATGCAATGAGATGATTACACAAAACACTTTGAAACTATGAAGTCCCATCTAAATAAACAGGAAGTACATTTAGTTCAGTACTGGTTACCGTGACCCCTTCTCACTCTAATCAAAGAATGTTCTCCCTCTCCACCTCCACCTCTCAAGATCCCTATCTCCTTTTAAGGTTAAACTCAAGAACCACTAGGCTTTTCTTGATCCCCCTGGTTCTTAGCACTCTCTTTCCTTACTCCCAAAATTATTTAGTATTCAATTGTATGCACTTTGTCTTCACTTATCAGTGCACATATTACTTCCACCCAGAATGAAAGTTCCTTAAGGCCAGGGGCTATTTTATTTTTGTCTTTTTATGACCCAGCACCTAGCACAATGCCTTGAATATAGCATATGCTCAATAGGTGCTTGTTGAATGGAATAGAATATGCAAAGATCGAAGTTAAGCCAGCCAGCATTTATTAAGTATCCACTAAGTGCAAGGATGCAAAGACTAAATGAAAAACAGTCGCTCCTCCTTCAGAAGCTTGCATTCTACTAAATTATGATAACAATCACTTTTCGATATTTCTTTTCACCACTGCAGATCACAGGAGGCATTGTGGGTTAAAGGATAGAGAACTGGTCTTGAAGCAAGGAGGACCAGGTTTCAAGTTTAGCCTCTGATACATGCTGGCTATGTGACCCTGGTGAAGTCACAACCCCTCACTGTTCTAGACAATTCTCTAAGACTATAAGTTGCACAGGGGATGATGACCTCCATTAGCAGAGGGAGTTTTCTCGCCTGGCAGGTCCCTATACTAATGAAATCCCAGGTACAATCTCTGGTATACCCCTGGCCTTAATGCAGGTCATTGTCCCCTCTATCTTAGTAGATGGATTGAAGAATTGCTGTGCCCTCCCCCCAAAAAGTCATCATTTGGTGCAGTGATCACCCCTCTATTGGTGAAACTCTCCAAATTGAGCTAAATTGTTGAATAATACAGTCTTTTTCTGGGCCCCATAATAAAAATACTTTCAAATTGGTTAGAATGACCAGGGTATGGGGGCAGCTAGGTGGTGCAGTGAGTAAAGCTCTGGCCTTGGAGTCAGGAGGCCCTGAGTTTGAATGGGGCCTCAGACACTTGACACTTACTAGCTGTGTGACCCTGGGCAAGTCACTTAACCCTGATTGCTCATCAAAAAAGGGAAAAAAAAAACTGTGACAAAAAATGAATGACCAGGATAGCTAAGTGGTACCTGGCTAGAGGGCCAGGCCTAGAATCAGGAAGACCTGAGTTCAAATCCAGCCTCAGACACTTGCTAGCTATGTGACCCTGGGCAAATCACTCAACTCTGTTTGCCTCAGTTTCCTCATCTGTAAAATGAGCTAGAGAAGGAAAAGGCAAACCACTCCAGGATCTTTGCCAAGAAAACCCCAAACAGGGTTACAAAGAGTTGGACATAACTAAAACTACTGAACAACACCAGAGTTTATTCTCAGAAAGCATAGCCTCTGAGAACCTAAGACCACTCCCTTGCCATGATAAAACATTCATCAAAATAGAGCTTTAATGTAGGAGACTAATAATACTTCACATTTGCATAACCTTTTACCATTTACAAAGCACTCTCTTATGCATTACTTTCTCCAAGCTACTTCATTATGTATCTCACAATAAGCCTGTGAAATAAGGCAAGCAGATATTATCATAAGTTTAGAGATAGAAGAGACGTTTGAGGTAACCTAGGCCATGACCCTCATTTTACAGTGGAAGAAGAAAACAAGCATTTCAGTGTCTCCTATGTAAGTGTCTACTACTAAGCACTGTGCTAAGTGTTTTACAAATAATATCTCATTTAATCCTCATAACGACCCTTGAAGGTAGGTGTTATTATCCCCATTTTGCAGTTGAGGAAACTGAGGCAGGCAAGATTAAGTGACTTGCCCAGGGTCACACAGGAGGAAGGGTCCGAGGCTAAATTTGAACTCAGGTCTTCCTTATTCTGGGTCTAGCTCTCTATTCCCTGTGCCACCTAACTATTGTAGTGGAGGTTAAATGCTTAGCTTGATTTAAGGTCACACTGGCAATATGTGGCAAAGCCAGACTTTTAAACTCAGGTGCTCCAGTTCTAAACCTAGTTCTTTCCACTGATCCATTGTCATCTTCATTTTTTTTTTACACATTAAGAAAAAGGCTAAGAGAGGTTAAATGGACCATCTGTGGTTATATAGCTGGTTAGTGGATGAGTCAAGGTCAACTATTTACTTTCCACTAGACGACATGTAATAGTAAGATAGTAAATGAATGAGATCTTGTGATCTCCAGGAAGAATAGTCCCAGATATGGACCAAGGTCAGTTTCTGTTATTCATGGCTGGTAGTCTCATCATTATTGTTTGAAAAATGAGAAAGAATTATTTCAGTCTCTCTCAGACTCTTAAGGCAGCCCCCACTGGGAGTCTGGATCCCTCCACAAACAGTCCTAACAGGAACAGCCTCTGACCAGCAAAGTTTACCTTTCCATCCATTATTTCCTCCTGACATCAACGTAGCACCAGCCTCGATAAGTGTTCCCATGGAAACTGGTCCTTGGAACTCCCCCCCCCAACTTGTCCCTCCCCTGCACACAGACACACACGCTCCTCTCCTTCATCTTCTTTTTCTTTCTTTTGAGGCAGCCAATTAGGTCTAACTTACAGAGCCTCAGGGGAAA